TGATTTATTACACTTACACATTACGCTTTTATAATTATTAGTTGTAAAACGGTCACCAGGCAATATTATCGTTTATCGCAATAAATTTTGAGACAATTAATCGCCCAGCAAAATTTGTTATCGTGACAGGCCTAGTCTTTCACAGAGGACTAGTTCTAGGCTTATATTAGGATTTAGCTTAGGTGTAACAAGAGGAGGGTGGAGCTATTACCTTTAGTTTAATTTATTTAGATTCTAGGTTTAGCTTTTGTTTGTTATTTTTTGTTACACATTTGTTTTTTATTTTTTCTTGCACAAGCCAGCTTATGCCAATAATCAATTGCACTATTTTTACCATATTTCTCATTTTATATTTGTTGAGCGATGCATTTGTGGAACTGTCTTATAATAATTATTCCTTTTTCCATTTCTAGTTTTGAGTATTTTCTTTACTCAAGAGGAGGGGATGTTGTGGAATACTTATTTCTGTATCTCCTTGACACTGTCCATTTTCATATCTCGTTGATATCCCTGGACGTCATCATCGAGTTGATCTCTTTCCGTGTATCGGGATGGGGCAGGTTATGATTGGTTGTTCATTATCACATGATGTTAGCTGACAGTATATCATCGCATGGCCGCCAATGACGGGCGGGCCCACATCCAACAGACTTCGTGATTGTTTTCTGTTCCATGTCTGCCCATTAATAAATGACTTTATGATCAAACCCGCAAGACTTGTCTTTTTAACACCCTTTCGCCGTGTTTCTGACCATCTTCCCGCGACAGTGACAAACACCTTCAATATTCCAAACTTATTTTATTGAAAAATAGCCTTGAAAGAATACAGATGTGGTAACCGGACATTAAGAAGTGCTCAGAGCACCCAGAGGAAACCCACGCATGCATGGAGAGAACAGGCTAACTCTACCATGTAAGGTCTCTAGACCAGGATTAAATCCAGCAACCTTCTTGTTGAGAGGCACCAGCTCTACCAACTGWGCACCGTGCCTCAGAAGAAGCAGATCTTTTTCACTTATCTTATCCAAGTATCCTAAAATTAAGGAAACCTGTGCCGATAAACCAGCTGGAAAATTTATCGGTTCACCCCCGGTAATTACCGTTATTTTTCGGACAATAAGCCGCGACTTTTTTCCTGAACTTTGAACCATGTGGCTTATAGTCCGGTGCGGCTTATACATGGGTTTTTTCTTCAACCACCAGGGGGCTCTAATGCTCCATTTGCTTCAACCACTCGCTTAAAAAGAAAGGAAAAAAAGAAAAAAGTGATCCTTCCAGAGCCGACTGTTGACCAGGAAGCAGCATTTAAAGATAGTCAATGGCCAAAAACTCATAAAGGGGATAAAACAGACATTTTTCACGGTGGAATCTGACTGATAAAAACTTTGGAGCTTAATCCAGGACCAGTTTGTGGATAAACGTCGAGTGAAGAGCTGCTGACCTTTTTTCAGCATTGCACTCCCCGGGGAAGGAATCCCATGCAGTGACGTATGCTGGAGCGGGAGGGCTTTCCCAGCACAGCTTCAGAGCCAGCATTACCCCGGGAGGACAACAGATACCGCTGTGTGACGCAGCTTTTCTCAGCTTGTTTAACTCCGACACTGAAGAGGAGGACTTCGATGGTTTCAGTGTGCCGGAGGACGATGAATAAGACGTTTTGTTGGACCAGAAACTGTTAAAGAAAACTACCAAAATAAGGTCAGTTAAATGAACCGTATTCCTCCGAACTTTAATTCCTAAAGGTTTGCTTTTTATGTTTTGATGTTGAATTCACTTTTTTGACGACAAATTTGGGTGTACTGTTTTTTTATGTTGGGGGTGTGGCTTATAGTCCGAAAAATACGGTAGATGTTTTTTCTCCTGCACTCACCTGAACCTCTGCGCTTGGTGATGGACAGGACCCCCAAAGCGCCGGGACTGGCCGTGGTATGTCTGTGACATCATCAGGGAGTTCCTGCCCTGGTTGGGATTGGCAGCAAACTTGACAGTAATTGCCTCAGAGCTGCCAGGTGGCACGTGCCCGTTCAGATGTCTGATGGCGTCCTCAGCCTCGGCCCTCTTGTCATATCGGATAAAGGCCACGCCTCGAGAAAGACCTGAACAGCCAATCAAATGACAGCATCAATAACTCACCTGAGCTTCACTGACTCTTAGTGTAACCTGACATGTTTAAGAAACGAATGGTGTGCTCTGAGTCAGGCCAGAACCGATGTCAGTGAGACTGAAACTAACTTGGTAACATGGCAGTTTGGCAGGAATGAGGTGAGTGAATAGATTAAACAATAATTCACCTTCAAATCCAGGGTGTCAAACTCATTTTCACAGAGGGCCAAATGAGCACTGTGGTGACCCTCAAAGGACCAGCTGTAACAAGTGTTACATCTTTCTTGACCATGTTAAAAATAACAGATCTATCGATATAATAACAGATATATGTGTCCTGACTACATTTAAAATAACACAAATCTGTCCTGGCTAGTGTTGTAGTCAAGACCATCTAACCCGAGACCAAGTCAAGACCAAGACTTTTAGGGTTTGGACCAAGTTGAGACCAAGACTAAGGGAGGGCGAGACCRAGACAAGACCAAGACCAGATAAAAAAAGGTGCCCTAAAAGATGGAGTATTGTGTACACATGTACAGTGGGAGAGAAAAGTATTTTGTCTCTTATAGTTGAGGTCTAACTATGATGTAATCACAGGCCTCTCTCATCGTTTCAGGTGGGAGAACTTGAACTATTGGTGCTGACTAAATACTTTCTTCACCACTGTAGCTAACTTAATATGTTGAGCTAATATTGACCAAATGTTTGTGTGAGGGCAGAGGAAAGAGTTTTGCTACAGAGGCAGATTATTAACGTTAGTGACGATTAAAGTTTAAAGTTGACCCATTGTCTGAAAGTAAAGCTCTGCAGAATTTACAAGTTGCTGTACGCTTTCTCCTGGTTGTTGTCGTTGTTTTACAATGATATTATTTATGAATAATGTAGCCATTTGAAGACATCTTTTACAGCTGCCAGAGAATAACTTCTTACTTCCCTGGAGTGCTGCGTGTGAGTGAACACAGTGAGGATGGGTGACAGCTGCTAACAAAATACATAACAGCAATAAGTCCGGTTTGGATTTGAATCAGTACATTTTACATTTTAAATCAATGAAAACAAGATTGTTAACTAATAAACTGGACAATAATCTGGCTGTTTAGTGATATTTCCACAGTTGTGGTCATGACTGGTCTTGAACCAAAATTCCAAGTCCTAAATGTCGAGTCCGAGACAAGACCTTGACCATCAAAGAGTGGTTTTCAGACCGGTCTTAAGACCAAGACCGGTTTCAAGTACTACAACACTAGTCCTGGCTACATTTAAAATAACAGGAATCTGTCCTGACCGTGTTTAAAATAACAGAAATCCATTGTGGTGACCAGTTTTCGAAATATGACCAAGTCTTTCTCCTGGCTGCATTGCTGTGTGCGACAAAGAAAAGGACTAGTCACATGACTTACCAGTAGCCTGGTCCACCAGCACTCTGGAGTTAATGATGCGTCCAAAAGGGGCAAACATGTCTTCAAGATCCTGTTGGCTCAGGGTTCTGGGCAAACCGCTGATGTAGAGATTAGCATCTTTGATTGTGTCTGAACTCGGTCGAGCAAACGAAACCTACAGGAAGGAAACAGGAAGTGTTTCAGATCATCGTCTTCACAGGAAAAAACTAACTAATTAAATAAAATTACATACAGACAAAAAATAAATAAAATAAAGTACACAGTTGTAGATGGTGTTCAAAGAAAAAACAAGATATTTAAAAATATATAGACAGTGAAAATATGGTTAACATTTAACCAGAATTATTTTAAATAAAATATAAAACAAAATAAAACATTAAACTGGCTCTGGTTTTTCAAAATAAAACCGCATTAATTATTTTAAAAAGTCTTTGCACATGTCACACAGATTCAGAGCCAACATGTTTCAGAATAAAAAAAACAAACTTGACAGCAGAGGATTTAAACTACCTTCATCCATCAGACAGTTTGCAGGTGAGAGCGCCTCCTACTGTCCGGGGAACATAACACATCTATCAGGTGAAACAGAAAATCAAAGAGCACCTGTGGCACGTTACCTTGATAGTTTTAGACTGTAGCCTCAGGCCATTGAGGGTACTGATAGCCCTCTCTGCATCATTATGGTTAACAAAGTTAACAAAGCCGTAACCTAAACTGTGGCCTAGAGAAACACAAAGGAAAACAACAAAATAACATAACAAAACTGTCTGTGTTACAGCATCACATGTTCTGGAAACAAACAGAATTCAAACAAAGTACAGATCAAGAATCAGTACAAAGTTTCACAGTGTTAAAAACAAAATAAAACAAAACAAATATTCTGAACAAACCAAGAAAAATCTCTGATCTTCACCTCCAGTGTCAACTCTGAAGTCTGAACAATTGTCAGTTCAATAAAGCCAAATAATATCTGGTTATCTGGCTTTACTAAAACCAGCTGCTTTCTGAACTCACTTTACTCCTTTGATTGAATCCAGAATCTGATTAAAGTCTGTGTAATATCACAAATTTACAAGCAACACACTTTTAGGAAATGCAGTATCTGTGTCAGGAAGAACAGGTTAGGCTGCAACAAATCAAACGTCATATTTCAAATAGCAGTCATTTTCTGCTGCTGATTATAGATTTACACATGGACAAAACTGTTGGTGACCAAAAACTCCACAATGGTTACTGAAATAACTTGAACTGACAAAAGAGATAAAATTTTACAAAAAAATTTAACAATGAAAATCACACAATGCTTATGAATTGTGGTTCACGATTATTTTAATCATCGATTAATCTGTCGATTATTTTTTTGATTAATCATTAAAACACTTAATTAAATAAATATAAGTAGATATAAATCAATTTAATTCCTGTATAAATTAGGGATGCAAGTTATGAATTAAAGTGAAGTTGGTTTATCTTATAGATGGACCAACAATTAATTGATAAGCAGACATTTTCTTAAAAACCAGAGTTTTCTATTGAATCAAGTGGGTCATTTCATAAAATGAAGAGTTTTTTAAAATAATATGCTAAATTAAAAAAGAAGCACATCATGCTTCTGCTGTTTTAATTCCTCTAGATGTCACTGCTGCCTCKGACACAGAGGATCAGGACGTTTTAGTATCTGCTTTGGAACAGTTGGTCGGGGTGAAAGGCTCAGCTCTTAAATGCTTTGAGTCCTACTTATCTGACAGGAGTTTTTCTGCACATAATGGAGATTTTTATTCCTCAGAGGCTCCTCTTAAATGTGGGGTACCTCAAGGCTCCATACTGGGCCCCATTTTATTTTCTATTCCTTTGCTCCCACTGGTGTCCATCTTCAAGAAATACAATAGCCGTGTTTCCATCCAATTTAAATTGGAATTTTGAGAGATTTTTTTAAATTTCGCAAAAACGAAAAAAAGAAAAAAAAAGAAATGCAAATCAAACGTTTCCATCAACTGGCTTCAAGCGAATCATTTACGTCAGACACATGCGTGTAGTAAACAGGAAGTAAAAGTTGCATCTCAGGAAAATGGAGAGAAATTATCAGGAACGTCTTGCTACTATCAGGAAAGTTGTAATTATTCTGTCATCAACTAGTTTTGACGATTTTACATGCGGTCGGGAGACATAGAGAAAGAAATGCAATTCTTTTCACGTTACGGGAGTAACTGAGAATACGCCGACAGCGSGAGGAGGTTCCAGCTGCAGTCGCTCTGGTACCGGGACTGGTTTCGGACAGACAGCGGGAACAGCTGATCAACATGTGAGGTAAATGTTCGCTACGTCAGACCTGATTCGAAAAATGTGTTTCCGTCTTTCTTTTTGCGCATCAAATCTTTTTCAAAAAACCCAAAAACCAACTCAAGCAAGCGTATCAACTGATGCAAATTAGAGGAAGTTCTTTCGAATCAAGCTGTTTCCATCCACCTTTTCTGATGCCATACTTCAAAACGCGCATTAAAAAACCTTGATGGAAACACGGCTCATGTGTCATTTCATTTTTATGTAGATGACATTCAGATTTATTTACCTTTAAGATCGGGTGGACCTCAGCAAATGGAGAATCTGCAGAATTGCTTAAAGGACGTTAAAAGTTGGATGGAGCTAAATAAAACAGAGGTCATTGGGTTTGGCAAAACTGACCTGCTGGTAGGATTTAACAGAGCTGTTGGCTATTTGGATTTTGATTGTCATTTTGTTAGGAATCTAGTTCTTTTAGACAATAACTTTAAATTTGACAAGCAGGTCAGCGCAGTGGTCCGGTCTAGTTTTTATCATTTAAGKCTCATCAGTAAAGTCAAGCCTTATCTTCCACATAWTWCCCTTGAGAGGGTTATTCATAGGGCTGTGTATTGGCAAGAAGTTGGCGATACGATACATATTATGACAGAGGGGTCACGATACGATTTATCCCAATATATTGTGATACTGTAAGCAATGTGATATATTGCAATTTTTTTTGTCCAAAAATACTATTAAATAAAAACCTCTTAGCAGAAAAATAAAGAAAAACCAAAATTCATTGTCTCAGAAAATTCTAATATGACAGACATACTTTTGATACATTTAGCTGTGTTCTGCTTTGTGTGTATTTGATTTTATTTGTTTCATATTTCTTATTTCATCCATGTTTTCATTAGACTAAATTTGCCAATAAATAGTGGAGGCAGATGGYCKCCTGTCCTGAGCCTGGTTCTGCTGGAGGTTTCTTCCTGATTAGCAGGGAGTTYTTCCTCTCCACCGTTTGCTCAGGATGGGAGRCTGTGATGAAGTGATTCAACACAATCTGCTGCTAAATTCTTTACATTGTTCTTTTTATCTACAGTGTCCTGAGACAACGTGTGTTGGACTTGGAGCTGTAKAAATAAACTGAATTGAATTTGTTATTTTATACGTTCTGGATTTGTTTTTTTGTTTTTTTTTATAAATTCTGGATTAGTTTTTGTTTTTTTTATAAGTTCTGGATTTGTTTTATTATAAGTTCTGGATCTGCCTTTAAACAGGTTGTATTGAATGAGCAAGCTCAGGGTCAGAGTCCTGATGAAGGACCACATTTGAGTTTTGAACAGTTTGAGGAGTTTTGAAATGACAGTTGAAAAGCTGGGAAAGATTAAGTCCAACAGTTTTCTCGACTTGTTCAGAACAGAAAGTTCAGGAAGTTAATGAAACCTTTACAAAAATTTATAAAACTTGAAATAGAAAAATGAAAAATAATTAACAATTTAAAAAAACTTTCTGATTAAAAATGTTTTGCAATTTTCATATTTTTATCTGTAAAATAAATATAAATTAACTGAGTTTACATAAGTCTGATTAAAAAGGCATCAAATACACGCAGACTGTTGTCAATAAAATGTAAAAAAGTAAAATAAAAATATACAAGAACTTTGGTGAAAAAAACATCCAACATTATAAAATTTAAAAAAAATTACAAAGTAGTTCTTAAAAAAAAAAAAAAACATTTTTGTTTAAAAAAGCTGAAATAAAACCAAATGTAGCTGATTGTCTGTTAAAATATTAAAAATAAAAAAATTGATGGAGGAAACAAAAAAACAAGAAACATATTTATGCGTGTATTATGTGATTTCATAATGCTAGCCCTAATTTCATACAGACTTCAGGATTTTTCAGCCTCGGCATGCACATCAATAAAATAATGAAACTCTTTGGCAAACTATGATTATAAGTTTTGTGGAAGTGTCAAAGGAACATAAGACATGATGTAGCAGACGACTTTCAGACAGTCAAATAAAAAAACTACCAGGAACCTTCCACAGGACACTTGCAAACATACTGGTGTCGCTTTAGTTGGGGAAACCATTTAGTTGGAGGATACCGACTTTCACACAACACCAGTAAATGCAAATGGCAGCCATTACAGACACCTTTTGCCAAGAAAGAAACCATGTGTTTGTTTCATCATGTGAGCAGGCCAGTCGTACACTAAAGTCATCGTTTGGTTATCCTTACTGATCCGCTGCATCGAGCCTTTTCTTACTAACCTGAAGCCAAACGCTCGTCAGCACAGAGGAGCATGTGAAGCAGGAGCTCTGTGACCCTCCTTTCTGCCTTCCTGTGTCCAAGTGGGATTGGTCTATTTTTGGAATAAACCACCAAAAGTAGGGATGCACGATATATTGGCACTAATATCGGTATCAGTCCGATAGGTAAAACTGGGTCGATATTGATTGCCCACTTTTTATCTTTGTGTTTGTGTTTTGGGAGGGGAGATGGCTGGTTGAGCAGCATGTGTTTGATTATAGTAGTGACATTAACGCTGCGTAGCCAAGAATAACTGAAGTAGAGTCATGTTGGAGGTCTGCTCATTTGKTTACAGTATCAAGAAAAGACCCAAGTGTGAACCCTAACTGCCAACTGTTATGGAATTATTTATTCAACAGTGCGTGTATGTATAATTTGTGTGTTTGTTTAATATCGGTAAATATCGGTTATCGGCCATAATACCAATAATTATATCGGATATCGATATCAGCTGAAATTTTCATATCGGTGCATCCCTAACCAAAAGACAAAGAGTATTTATCGTTTATGAAAAGGGTTCTCTGGATCTTACAACATGACACTTTGGTAACATGAGTCTGCTTTATAGAGGTGAATAAAGTATTGATCAGTAAACACTGGTCTGGTCTGGTCCGGTCCGGTCTGGTCTGGTCTGGTCTGGTCTGGTGGTCTACATGTAAAACGCTGTAGAATAACAGCTTGTTTGGGTCAGTTTGACATGATGAGGTGCTCTGCTCTGAGTGACAGCTCTCTGGTCCACAAGCAGCCATTTGTCCATGAATTATTAATTACTTAATTACACAATACGCCTCAGGCCCACCCCACCTCCCAAAAAAATACAGTGTACTGCAGTATTTTCTAAAGTTTATACATCAGTTTGAAAACAGCTAGTGCTTTGAGTAATTATTGAGATTATTTTTTTCACATTATACACGCATAAATACTGTAAGTGTTCATCAGTAGTATCAGTTTGTGTATTCTACTGCTAAAATACTGAACTGGCAGAATAAGAAGTATATCAGCATATATAACTTAGAAATAAAAGTAGCTCAGTAAATAGATCAGTAATACTGAAGACCAGTTACTTGTTTTCACCATGAACATGATGTCAGATCATTGTAAAGTTTTAAACATTTATCTGTACTGTTCTTTATCCAGGGAAGATCTACAATAAATAACTTTAAGTGTTAAAAGAAATTGGAAATTTAATCTGGGTTTTCTCTGGACAGAGTCAAAATGAYACATACAAAAAGGAAATACATCTATAATTTCCAATACATCTGTTAATAGTGGTAGAAAAGGACCAAACGTGTCTTTTAATTTTACATGACCTGTTAACTTCCTGTTAGTGATTATGATCGACTGCTGCTGGTGGTTTGTCTGCCAGCACTGATCAGACTGATCATCTGTCCTGCTCAGATATAACTGGTTCTGATGTTCAGGAACAACCCAAGAACCAACAAGGTCCCAGTCTGTCAAGAACTGGAACACCAGACTCCCTGACCACCAGAGTCCCCGACCACCAGAGTCCCTGTACAACAGAGTCCCCGACCACCAGAGTCCCTGACCACCAGAGTCCCTGTCCACCAGAGTCCCTGTCCACCAGAGTCCCTGACCACCAGATTCCCTGTCCACCAGAGTCCCTGACCACCAGAGTCCCTGTACAACAGAGTCCCTGACCACCAGACTTCCTGTCCACCAGAGTCCCTGTCCACCAGAGTCCCTGTCCACCAGAGTCCCTGACCACCAGAGTCCCTGTCCACCAGAGTCCCTGACCACCAGAGTCCCTGTCCACCAGAGTCCCTGTCCACGAGAGTCCCTGTCCACCAGGGTCCCTGACCACCAGAGTCCCTGTCCACCAGGGTCCCTGACCACCAGGGTCCCTGTACACCATAGTCCCTGTCCACCAGAGTCCCTGTACACCAGGAATATTATAATAATATTATTTTACACTCTGTGGGTCTAAATATTAATCAGACATTTATAATATTATTTTATACTCTGTAGGTCTAA